CACTGGGCAGAGCAGCAGTGTCCTCGCCTGGGCCCCCTGGGACCCCTCCCCCCTCGCCCCCCTCTGTCCCACGCACTGGGGAGAGCAGCAGTGTCCTCGCCTGGGACCCCTCCCCCCTCCCCCCCTCTGTCCCACGCACTGGGGAGAGCAGCAGTGTCCTCGCCTGGGACCCCTCCCCCCTCGCCATCTCGTGAGCTGGCGTGGGGAAAACCCACTCTGAGGCGCCACAGGGCTGCTCGTCGCTATTAAAGATCCAGACTAACATGGCTGCCCCTCCGGGACATCTATAAAGGGGGCCTCAAGTGGGCAGCCGTGCTTCACGGACAATGCACCTCAAACGGCGCCATCCCCAGCTGAGGACCTCGGCTGTGACTGTTCAGACCACAAGGCTGCTAAGGGCTGAGAGACTTGCTGAGGTGACACACTCCATTGGGGGAGGTTCGTTCACACAGAGAACAACGCTATTCCCTCTCCCTGGGCCAGGGCCTACAGAGGGTTCCTCCATCGCTGTGTCCATGCCAGCTCATCACTCCTGGAGCGTCTCTGCAGTGAGCCGAGCCCAGAAAGACTGACAGTCCCTCCTAGTGGACGTTGGACTCGAGACTTTCAAGACCGCAGATTATTTTCTCTCTGCTACCAGCCTGCCCAGGAACTTTGCACTGGTGGATGCCATTTGTCTCCTTTCACAATTTTCCTTTATTAATAACCCGTTAGCTTGCAGGTTCCAGGGGATCGGCCCAGCGTGCTCTCCTGAGGTATAAATTGACCTGGGACGGGGGAAGAGCCCGTGCAGACTTGGGGAGGTGGGTTTTCACAGCCTCTCGTCCGTGTAAGGTGCAGTGCTGATTATGACATGCGAGAAACTGAAGCGTCTGAGGGGACTGCTGGTGGGACTTCTTGCTGGCCAGCGTGGCAAACAGAAGTGCACTCTGTGCCTGGTTTGCTGCCTGGAGCGGGGAACCCCAGCAGCTGTTTCTAGGCAATTTGCCCTGACTGACCCTCACAATGGTGCCCCCAACCTGTTATATTACACCTCTCTTCCCTCTCCCCCACCCTGGAGGAGCCCCAAGGGCAGTGCCTGAGTGCCAGGGGATACCAGCAGCTCGCACGGCCAAGGCTGCAGTTCTAGATAGCTGGAGCCAGGACCCAGGCTGTCAGCAAGGGGCTGTGTCCAGCCAACACCCCCTGGACAGCACCATGTGCACAGGGGCAAAGCCTGTAACCTCTTCTAGAGTCTGCAGGGGAGGGGGCTGGAATCCATCCACCAAACCAGCCTCCTGGGGCTAGCCTTCGCCCTGGGCACGGGTACTCTGCTCTGCGCACGGACACGCCCCCGGCATGGGTACTCTGCTCTGCGCACAGACACACCCCCGGCACGGGTACTCTGCTCTGCGCACGGACACGCCCCCAGCACAGGTACTCTGCTCTGCGCACGGACACGCCCCCGGCACGGGTACTCTGCTCTGCGCACGGACACGCCCCCGGCACGGGTACTCTGCTCTGTGCTTGGAAATGCCTACTAGACACGTATTCCCTTCCACACAGACACACGCTCTACATGTGTACATCAGACAAGCCCCCAGTACACATGTACATGTGTACTCCACTCCACAGACATGTGCCCTACACATGTACTTCATTCTGCAGACACCCACCCCACATGTGTACTCCACTCCACTCACGGACACCCCTCCCATACATGTGTTCTCTGCTCCGCATCCATGTGCCCACCAACCCCTCATCCCCATGACAGGCGCTCCTGGGCAGCACCCTCGCCCACATGAACAACCCCCGAACACCCACCCGCCAGGGAGAGCCGCAGCAGGGGGGCACTTACTTTCAGCGTGTGGTCCTGGCTGCCTGTCACCAGCCGCCCAGCCGCAGCCTTCAGTGCAGTGATTGGCTTCTGATGGGCACAGGACACTGTGTGGGTCAGCTGGCACATGATAAGGTCGCTGCTGCTGCACATGGGGGACGATGGGACGCTGCTCCTGCTAGGGGTTCCTGTGGGAGCACACACATGGCGGGGACACTGCAGCCTTCCACACACCACCCAGCACGCCCAGTTTTGCAGGCTTGGAGATCTCCAGCGGGGCACCGCAAAAGAGGGGTCCCCAAAGCAGGGGCCATTTCTGAGTAACTCGCCTGCTGGAGATCGGCCCAGCGCAGACAACTTCTCTGCCCTGGGGTCATTCAAATCTTCACCTCTGCATGGACTGGGCTGTCCCCAGCCCCCACCAGCTACATTTCAGAGTCCACCCCAGTGTGCACTGGCTGGGGCCTGGCTGGCCTGTCATCCCAGAGCTCCCGCTGAGATCAGAGCCCAAGCAGTCTCCCCAAGAGAGACAGGCTCCAGCCCCAAGGTCGGAGGGGAACCAGAGACCCCTGGCAGAGCTGGAAACAGGGCTCCCAAGTCCCACTCCAGTGCTCTGTCCATTGGGCCAGGCTGTCTCTCAGCACTACAGACCCAGACCTCAAAGGTACTGAGGGATCTTGAGCTCAATGGAGGTTTGGCCACCTCTTGTGGGCGGATCCAGGCTAGCTGAGGGATCCCAGGGCGTTTCCCAGTGCCCGAGGGCCTGATGTTGCAACAGCAGTGCTGATCTTCCAGGTCCGGGGCTCTCCAGGTAACTCGCCAGACTCTGGGGAGCTAATGGTCCAGGCACGAGGGCCGGCAGAGGTGCTTGGGCGCAAGTGTCAGGAAAGGGATCGGGGGGAGGAGCTGGCGTCCCCCCACATGCAGGCGCCCAGCGCTCGCTCACCTCGGAACTGCAGGGGGTTGCAGGAGGCATGGGTTTCTAGCGAAAAGAAATCCAAGGAGCCGTTCAACCTGGCAGCCACAATCCTGGGAGAGAAACAGACAGGTGAGGAGAGGCCTCTTCCCCATCCCCACAGGCGCTGAGGGCAGCCCTGGCAGCTCCTGCTGCAGAATAAACACTCAGATTTCTCTGGCTCCAGTGCCCCTGTGACCCAGCCACCACCCAGAGAGGGACACCCCAGTAAACGAAGGACAGTTGGCTCAGCCAGACACCAGGGGTGCAGGCCAGAAAGGGGAGCTCCCAGCTCTGTCTGCCACACCCGGAGCTGCCTGCATCCCCCCCTTGGGGCCCCGACATCTGGGCTCCTTCAAGGCGAGATCCCAGGGCCGTGAGCATCCGAAGCGGAGTCGGTTACCGGGTGCTCAGGAAGACGAGTGCTGTGATCCCGGACTGGCCCTCCTTGTTACTGCACCGGAGGGACCCCTCGATGGCATCCCACACCTGGAAGAGAGGCGGAGTCAGCGGCGCCTCGCACAGCGGCAGCGGAAGGGGAACGGAAAGTGATTGCAATAATAACGCTGGCTGTGGCCAGGCCTAAGGACCCAGCAGCTCAGTCCTGGCCTGCAGCACCCCCTGCTGGCCCAGTCTGGGAGCCCCAGCCCCACTGCTGCACCTGTTCGGAGCAGGCTGATTGGCACCAGGTTTTGAAGCAACCTCGTGACAAGGTTCAGAAGCGAGTTCAGGACGTGGCTACTCGGACTGTGCTGCCATCACCCACACTAGGGATGGCAGGGTGTAGTCGAGCACACCATTAACCAATAAGCCTGCATCCCCTCTGTATTGGGGCAACAGGTGCCATGGGGAGCTGGCAAACAGAGGCTGCTCCGCGGCAGCCT